CAGGCCTAATCTACTGTGATCGAAGACGATTGCTATTTTTCGGGTGTACATTATTAACTCGACGCAGGAGCTCCTGCTCGACGTAAGATTTGTTTCACTCTTGAACTGTTTCCAAATTATTTTTTCTCTAAAATCACTTAGCCTTTGCCTCAAAGGCACATGAATGTGTCCTAAAGTTAACTGACGTGTGAATTACAAGTTTATCCTTTGATTTAAATTATAAATTTATTAACGGGAGCTTCGCTTTTAGCCCTGGCTAAATCTATATATTAAATACAGGCAGTTTATAAGGGTTCAAGCAGCATCAACCAGGTCACTTCACTAAAGAACAAAAGGAAAATTGAACCAAAAAACCTTATAGCTGTTCAATTCCAGTTTTCTAATTGGATTATTATACCTGGCTACTTGAAATCTTCGTGGCAGCCATGTAATTTCATCTGCCATGCTCTTATGTCGACAGCTATTGTTGTATCATACTGTTTTGTATGGAAGTTTGTGTTTTATATAAGGTAGGAAAGAAAAAGCTATACATCGGTCTTCTTATACTGAAAATTGTTTCTTTTCTAGCCACATGCACTGGACTGATTGGGGAAAACATCCAAAGATTAAACGAGGCAGCACTGGATGGTAGTCATCGTATTACTTTGGTGAACACATCAGTGGCATGGCCTAATGGCATTACCATTGATTTCCACGAACAATAACTCTACTGGGTTGATGCCAAGTTGGACAAAATTGAAATCATGAATCTTCATGGAAGTAATTGTAGGGTAATTCTTGATCATAAACTGCCACATGTGTTGGATTTACAGTGTTAGGAGATCGGTTGTTTTGGACAGACTGGGAAAGACGTGTCATAGCGAGTGTCAACAAAAAGACTGGTGGTGATAGAAACACAATTATTGACACTACACCTGATTTGATGGGATTGAAGGCTGTATAGTAACGTGATAACGAAACAAACTGCAATTTCCAAATCATCGGACAACATGAAACAATTCTTACCTTGCTCACATGTTCTGTCATCTTGAAGAAGCTTTACCCCAGTTGGACAGGCACATGAATGACCACGCGCGTTCAATAGACATAAATGGCTGCATCCTCCATTGGTCCTTGAATTGCATGGGTTGTCACCTGTAATAAGTAGGCAGAGTAGTTATCTCAAAATGGTAAAATTCCAAGCCTTTATGAATCCGTGGACGAGTGGCTACAGCTCTGGACTTGTAATTCGGAGGCCCCGAGTTCAAGTCCTGCTCTGACCCCGAGCTGGATTTGTTCACGGTAGTCGCGAGTTCAAATTCTTGGCCACGCTTGTAAAACAGCCAACTGGTTCGCCTCCCACCAGTTGGGATTTTGAACCATTTTATGTTTCATTTAAATTATTTCTTTCATTATCCCTGAAAAAGCACAAAGGGGAAAAAACGATTAAAGTATTATTATTATTACTACCCACATTCCCTTACATCTCTGCCATAGAGGCCAAATTATGATGAGGATCATCAACATTATCATCATTACGCATTTCAAACTCATCCTCAGATTTGGAGGAATGGGGGAGGGGGGGGGGGGGGTTCCCCCCTTAANCTAGGCTGCCATAAAACCTAGACTAGATAGAAATAATGTATTGTATGAAATCGAGAAGTTTACCAGAACAGACAGCTGACAGCGTATGAAAGGAAGAAGTAACCCTGCTAAACCCATTCCCATCCCGGGCGCCACCCCAATGCACGGGTCTCATTAAACTAGGCTGAGACTGTAAATAGGTGATAATGATAATTGATGGTCGGTACAAACAAGCTAGGTGGGTTTACCGTGTGGCACAAAATTTTCGACGGAGTTTATTTTTGCGGATTGGGGATTTTTTTCTGGTGCGCGGAAACTAATTTTTGCTACTAAGACGCATTACTTTTTCTCGCTGAGAATTTATTTTTGCGATTTTCAAAAAGTACCCAGTACCCAGCATTGATAATATTTTCGTTCTTGTTAAGTACGTGTAATCAGCTGGGTGTATTTTCAAACAGTACTACAGTATGCGCACATTATGTAAAACAAGTAATTCATTGTATACCACTTTGTTTCTGAATGAAAGAGGCGATGTGAAATTGAACAGACACGACTTCTTAGTACTGTATTTTTGTGTAGCACATTTTTAGTCAGAGTATATTCAGCTCTGAAAAAAGCTTTTGGGAGAAAAATGTTTGCGTCATTTTTTTTTTGCGGGAACTTATATTTTTGCGGATCGCTGGAAAATTCGCAAAAATTAGAACCCGAAAAATCTCGTGCCACGGTGTCTCTAGTTTATCTGAACTTTGTTTGTTTTGCTGACAGTTTGACTCTATTTTTGAGGAAAACAATAAAAAAAATCGTCCAGTTCGTAAGAAAAAAGCTTCAGCGCAACTGAAATTTTCTTCAAACGCGTGCAATACCATTGGGCTGTAGTTAGAGCGGCCGCACAGAGTTAAATTGTCTAAACTAAACCAAATTGGCTCGACGTGAAGAGTGTTTAAGCCAATAAAAGTTTTTTTTTTAGTTTGTTATCATCAGTATTTTTATAAGATTTGATATTATACACTGCGAACCGACCGGATGAAAATGAACTCATTCAATTTTTTTAACTATCATGGAAGGGACGTCTGTACACAGGCTAGCGTGTGCATTAGGTAAGAGTGTTCATTCCGGAGGTCACTGTATGGCGCTCTTTATCCGGGGGGGGGGGTACTCCATAGAATGGCCTATATAGGGAGGCTCTGCGCGAAAGGGGTACCTTTTTTAGGCTTCAGGTATGAAAAAGGGTAGAGATTTCACTAGCTGAAGTATATGAAAGGGTAGGAAAATGCGTCATTTCGGTCAGTAAAAAGGCCCAAAAGGACTAGGCTCACGATCATACTGTTTATCTTTCCTAACAAGAAAACATACTTTGCATAGCGAGATCTTACATCTT